ACAGTGTGTGCCTGTCTCGAGTAAGGCCCTGGGTTGATTTTCCCCCCTCCAGTGAAAAAGGCTCTCTTCTCACCGTGGAAGTGCTGACCTCTGGAGTTTAGTCTTTCTGTCTTTTCTATTAGTAGGGTGTGGAGGTAGGTGTTGTGTTCTGGATTTCAATTCTATTTTGATACCTAGGTGACTGTTTGACTCATGTCTTCATCTTAATGGCTTAGACTAACCTCAGAGCAAGTGCTTGCCTGCATAGAAGTGGGGGAAATAGTTCCCAGGCAGGTTTAGCTTCTTTCCAAGGTGTGCTTAGGCTTGAGTTCCCCATAAGCAGCGCTGAGCTCTTAGAGCGCTGTGCTAGAGTCCAGCAGTGTCTGGTGTGGCTCGGAACTGGGTTTGTTAGGCTGGTTAGTGCCTTCCCTGTGTGTCCACTGTCTTAAGGATTTGAACGTGCAAGGTAGGGCAAGCCTTAGGTGAGACTCTCTCTCCTCAGGGGTGTGGAAGATAAAGGTGGAGCATAGAGGCCTGGGGAAAATGCTGTTTTAGATTCTTTACCTTGTCAGTTGTTTAGCTGACTTCACGAAGGCTGAGTGTGTACAGGTGTGAGGAGTCCATGGGGGGCTTTGCTGGGTGGAGGGAGAAGGGTAGTGAAAGTAAAGCATGGAAGTGGCTCTTTGGGTCCCGTACTTCTCTCCTCTTGGTGCTGTCTTGATTTGGCTTACGTTCGTGGCTATTGCCCTTTTTGGCCTTCAGTCTGGTGCACTCAGAACCCACACTGCACAATGACACTGGGCAGAGGTCCGCACTCTGTTGGTCCTGATTGCTGCCTCCCAGCTGTGCCTGCCCCAGGCCCCAGCAGCCTGGTTCACCTGCTCTGCAGAGTAAACAGCAGAGAGCCACTGAGACCCATGTTGAAGCCTGTCTGTCTCCTAAAGTGTTAGATTTCATCTTCCACCAGTTTAGAAGCCCTCCGCAGGACATCTCTCTCTCCCCACCACTCCCCTTTTTAAAAATTATCTTTAGGGCTGGGAAGGTGGCTCAGTGATAGAGCGCTTGCCTTGCATGCATGAGGCCCTGGCTTTGATTCCTCAGCACCACATACACAGAAAAAGCCAGAAGTGGTGCTGTGGCTCAAGTGGTAGAGTGCTAGCCTTGAGCTGAAGAGCTGAGGGACAGCGCCCAGGCCCAGAGTTCAGGACCCACGGCCGACAAAAACAAAAACAACCTTACAATGGAGTTGACATTCAACAACTGCCTCTCTTCTTATTCCCTCTGGAGTAGTTCTAGAGTTGCTTTTCCCCCAGAGCTGGTAGAAATCAAGACCAGGAAGCAACATTCAGATTTGCCTAGGAATCTTAAATTCGTTGGCTTTTGGTATGTTCTATCGTCTTAAAGCTTTTATCCCCAAATCATTTGTTTTCCTTTCGTGGTTTATCTACGAAGACCTTTTTCCTCCACCTGCCTCTCACCTAACCAGAAATAGGATGTCATTTTGGCCTTAGACATGAGCCTACATTTGAGGAGTTATAAGCCCAACAGATCTTATTAACAGGCTGCCAGAGAGAAGAAAACCAGCGGCACACAGCCAGCAGGAATTCTCAGCACTGTCTGTCTGCCCACCAGGCTCTCCCTTGCCAGGGGGCCTGTCTGTCCTGCGCAGAGCATCCAGACCACTGTTGGCTGTCGTGCGCTGTGTCCATAATAGGCACCGCAGCACTCTCCTCCACGTGCTGCATCCTCACCCCAGCCTCACCACACGATGCACCGATGCACACACAGGAGAGCACCTTGAGCACTGAGGAAAAAGCAGGTGAGGGGTATGGGTCATCACACTTTGATTAGGTGACACAGAACTATATGCACAGCGGACTTAGGTATCCCGTATTGTGGAGTTGAAATGGGGAACTTTTTCTCATGTGTAACACTTTTAATTGTAGATGGAGAAGCAGAGAATGTTGACTGAGAAAGCAAAACTAGATTCAATATGACCTTATTTTTGTCTAAAAATATAGTGTTTTACTGGAGATTTATGGATCGTGGGGATTTGTTTTTAATGTTCTTTTAGCATGTGTATGTTTGTGTGTGTTGTATTGCTTTTGTGAGGCTAAAGATTGAACCCAAAGCCTTGGATATGATAGTTAAGTATTCTATCATTAAACGCATCCGTAGCCCCCCCTCCCCTTTTTTTTGGCTGGTCATAGGGCCTAAACTCTGATCCTGGGCGCTGTCCCTCAGCTCTTTAGCTCAAGGCTAGCGCTCTACCAGTTGAGCCACAGCACCACGTCCAGCTTTTTCTGCTTATGTGGTGGTGAGGAATCAAACCCAGGGCCTCATGTGTTCAAGGCAAGCACTCTACCACTGAGCCACCTTCCCAGCCCCCTGGTTTTCTTAATAATTTAGTGTAGTTGAGAACTCGGACAAGAAAGAATTAACATCATATAATTAAATGCCTTTCTTATTAACATGTGTTTTTTGTTGTTTCTTCAGTAGGTGAAGTGTTATTTCTAGGCTTGGAGTATCCTAGCAGTCTAGGTGCACTGCAGTAGAGGTTGAAGCAGTTTCTTATTTCTTTTGACTTCCTTGGGTCAGCACCTGTCCTGCCCTTAAATATTCTGGTGGACAGGAAAGAGAAATAGGCTCTGTTGAGAAGTGGGTACTAGCAGGAGGGGATTGAGCTAATAATAAAAGAGGATGAAGGAGGAGGCTGAACACTATCGAAATAGATTGTTTGCAACTATTGAAATAGAATACTGAAACCTATTGAAATTGCTTTGGGAAAAGGAGGAAGAGTGGACTAGAGAAATGGAGGGGAGAAAATGATCCAAATACACTGTAAATATGCTTAAAGCAAAAAGCCGAAAGTGCGAGTTGTGGCTCAGGTGGTAGAGCACCAGCCCTGAGAAAAAATGCTAAGGAACAGTACCCAGGCCCAGAGTTCAAGCTCCAGAACTGGCACCAAAAAGATTTTTAAAAAAATAAATTGAGAGCAAGAGAAAAATATACAAAATTTTTTGAGATGTTTAGTTTCAGCGGAATGGAATCTGGTTTGATTTAGAACTTTGTGTTCAGACCAGTGAATAGTGTGAGCATTGTGATAAGACTAGAACCAGATGAATGCAGTTGTTTGTCACAGTATGGTGTCTTGCAGACACTTGTAGTTTTGGTGTGGTGGCATGGCACGCGCGTTGTCATTGATGTCGAGGACTTGACACAGCAGTTTGAGGAAACATGGAGCTATTGGGGACACCACTCCATTCTGTCAAGGATGTCTAGCTCATGCCTGGCACCAGTGGCTCACACTAGCTACTAGGAGAGTGAGACCTTGAGTATTGGGGCTTGAAGCCAATCCAGGGCAGAAAAGCCTATAAAACTCCCTCTCTAATTAACCAGCAAAATACCAGACTGTAGGCCTGGCTCAAGAGGTAGAGTGCTAGCTTTAAGCAAGCAAGCTGAGTGAAAAAGCACAAAACCCTGAGTTCAAGACCTGGAGTTGGTACACAAACAAAAATATCTATCTCACACATACCCACCCAGTGTCAGATACCTGGGATATATGGACACAGAATGTGTGTGAGTCTCCAGTAGTGCCTTGCTACTGTCACAGAGTAGCTGCTGTCGGGAACCAATGGTCAGCATGTCGTGGCTGTGGGCCAGATACAGCTAATGGTCTTGTTTTATATAACCAGATTGCTGAGAAGGTTTTTCACGTCCTTAAAGAATTGTTCACAGCAGCAGTGAAGATGTGAGTTGGAGAGCCCAGTGTTTGTCATCTGGCTCTTCCTGGAAAAAGATTTGCTGACCTCTTGTAGTATATTCCTTGTGCTCAGTGGGAAGTCACGTTTTAAGTATGAAAGATTTATTATATGAAATTCTTTACAATTTCAACACTTATACTTAAATATTATTTACTGACTGATTAAAATGTGTGATCCTGATTTGGTATCTCTGACTGTTTTAGGGTTGTGTAGCCTTTACACAAGAGCAAAGCAGATGTCATCTTTCTTATCTTTCTTCCTGCATCACTTGGAATACAGTTGAGACTAGGGTGCACATCTCTTATTGTTGGCGTTGAAACTCATCTGTGAACTGGCAGTGGCGGCACCATCCAGTTGTAGGTTCAGTGTGGAGAGATGGTTGTGGACAGCACTTTTGTAGTGGACTTCTCTGGCTGGCTGCCCCAGCTAGCTAAGACGGTAGCATCATCAGCCTAGTCAAGACTAACATGTAAATGTGGAGCTAGGAACTACAAGATCACACCTCTGTCATTTGTGCCCTGCAGCTTGAGAAGCTTGTGCATTCTTGTGTTATTTCTGATTTTAGAGGCAAAGCTTTATTTGCATGATGTCATTAATTTCACAGATCCTATATTTAGAAGAGTTTTTTCAGTCTTTTTTAAAATTAAGTTCCTTTGACATGCAGGCTGGGTCCTTAGAAGTCAGCTCTCACTTCACTGAAAGTCTTTGCTTTTAAGTCTCTGTGTTCATGTGGTGTGGCTATATATAGAAAATGGCAGCTGTGTGAGTTTTACCTGGTCTTTACTAGAGATGAAAACGGATGCTTGCACAGCCTGTCTCTAGCACTTGTGTTGTGGCAGTGGTATTCATGTTCATGACAGTTTAGAGGGCAGATGGTCTGCCTTGATTCTGCCAGGCTCAGAGCTGAGAGTATTATCAGTAGTGTGTAATTCCTTGAGAATTAAGTTGTCAATTTAGACTCACATGAAATTTGCTCTAAGAGAAGGACTTGATGGCTCATTCTTTCTTCATTGTGAGCTCATAGGTAATTTAGATACTGCTTTACCAAATGAGAGTTTTACCTATGAAATTAGCCTATCTCAGGCTTGGGTAGGAATGCTTTAGCACTGGAAAGGTGTTTCATTTCCTTCCAAAGATGTGCTAACATTGCGGTACTTCCTGGTATGTTGTATTTGATTCTTTTTAGTATATTACAAAAGCAATTTGTGAGAAACAGCCAAACATAGCTAATAACATTTATTTATGTATGTATTACAGGGCCTCAAATGTTGCCCAACTTGATCTTGAACTGGGATCAAGTGATCTTCCCACCTCAGTTTCCCAGGTAGGTAGGATTATAAGTGTGTTCTACCAAACCTGGCTGTTGTTGTTGTTGTTGTTGTTGTTGTTGTTGTGTGTGTATGCTGGTACTTGGTCTTAAATTCATGACTTTCAGTTCTTGGTTAGTTTTTTTGTTTTTGTTTTGTTTTTTTTTTTTGCTCAAGGTTAAGGCTTGAGTTACACCTCCACTTCTACCTTTTGTGCTGGTTAATTGGAGATAAGAATCTCCTAATCTGCCTGGAACGGCAGTCCTCATATCTCAGCTTCCTGAGTAGCTAGGATTACAGTCATGAGCCACCAGCATTCAGCAAAAGCACATGTTTTGTAGCAAGTTGGAACACTATACTTCTCAGCCTAGCTGATGTGATCTTTATCTCTAGGTCTAACGAACAAGATTGACACTCAGAGTATTTAAAGAAGGTCTGTGTAGGGCTGGGAAGGTGGCTCAGTGGTAGAGCGCTTGCCTTGTATGCCTGAGGCCCTGGGTTCGATTCCTCAGCACCACATAAGCAAAAAGAAAAAAACCCGGAAGTGGCGCTGTGGCTCAAGTGGTAGAGTGCTAGCCTTGAGCTGAAGAGCTGAAGGACAGCACCCAGGCCTAGAGTTCAGGCCCCACGACCGCACCAAAAAAAAAAAAAGGTCTGTGTATACCCACCTTTCTTTTCTGCAGGTATACTCCTGGTCTGTTCAAGTCTTCCTCCAGCACTTGCCTTTTTAGCCCTTCTATCTCCTCCAAATCCCTACCTTTGTTGGTTATTTAAGAATGGGAGGACACAGGCCTAGGTGCTGAACTGTTCATGCTGGAAATTGTCTGGCTGACAGTAGCTCCTTAGCCAGTGGCCTGGGAGCTCAGGACCACACCAGCCTCCGGGCTCCTGACGGCTGCCTTGGAGGGCATGGGGGCTTTTGTTGTTTATTACTTTCACCGGTGTTTGGACAGCAATGTCTGGTTGGAAACACTTTACTCAGTACATTCTGCTGCTCTTACAATTGCTCTTATAATCCTCTCTGTTTTTCAAAGTTCAGTGGACAACTGAGTCCAAAAAATCCTATAGCCAGAGAACTATGCCCACTTCTGGGACCTTCCACTTCCTTGGATCCTTCTCTTGGATTTGTTGAGAATTGGTAACAAATGTGAAAATCCCTCTACCATAAACTGTCTTGTTTCAGTCTATACATGTTGTACTTAAGAAAAGGATCAGAAATAAAAATAATTTGGTTTGTGGTTAAAGAAGCTGGGTATTTATCATTAGTCTGTAGTTCTGTTGTATGGTTGGGTGTTCATGGCAGTGCTGTGTGATTTTGGCCAGGTACTATATCTTTGCTTCATTAGATAACTGCTGCTGTTTCTAAATCTCTGTGGGAATTTTTAGGTGGTGGTTGCCCCTTTGAGCCATCCTTAAATATTTTAATGTCTTCTCTCTAATGGCTGTGGCTTCTCTTTTGCTCTTGGAGGATCTAATAAAGACATAGGTGCATACATGCTCAGAACTATCTTTCATGAGAGCAACCTCATGCTACATTATACATTATATATACATTACATTATATATTATACATAATATATATTATAAATTGTATATAATATATAATATAGTATATAATATAATATATATCATAGATACACATACATTGTATATATTATGTGTATAATATATACGCACACATTGTATATATTATGTGTATATATTATATATACACATGTGTCTCCTGAAATTCCCTTATAAACATTTATGTTTAGTTTTCTCATGTCATATTGTACATGTTATGGATGACTTGTCCTTTCCCCCCTTTTCTCTGTAGGTTTTTTGCATTTGGAAATTGTGCACTTCTTTCTGTTGCTACCTTGTTAGTTAGCCTTTGCTCTTTCTTTCTTTTTTTTGCGGGGGGAGGGGGGGGCGGTCCATTCGTGGGGCCTGAACTCTAGGCCTGGGCGCTGTCCCTCAGCTCAAGGCTAGCGATCTACCACTTGAGCCACAAGGCCACTTCTGGCTTTTTTCTTTTTGCTTATGTGATGCTGAGGAATCGAACCCAGGGCCTCAGGCATGCAAGGCAAGCGCTCACCACTGAGCCACCTTCCCAGCCCAGGCTTTGCTCTTGTGTGGGAGATACACTCAGGTTTTCATACCTGTCAAGGCCTGGAGGCAGTTTGTAGAAATAGGATCTAGTTATTCTTCAGAGTTTTCCTTGAGCCCCTCTTAGCCCTTTCCTGCCCTGTCTGCTCTTGCTATAGTATGTCCTGTCTTATACCTTTTTTCTGTGGCTTTCATTTCTTGCAACTGTTGTTTTCACTGGCATTTTCCATAAGAAGCCTTACATGGAACCAAAGAAAATGTGGTTTGTTGTTTGCTCAAAGATGAAGACAAAAACCTGCAAGTTTGCTCCTTTAGAATATGCTGTCTCTCACCATCTGTGGATGACGATTGCTGCGCTGACACCTCTTGCTGTCCTGTTTGCATCTCTGATACCCTCTTTGTCCCTTTCACCCTGGAACCCCTGGGCAGATTTAGACACTGTTAGTGGCCTTAACTCTGGCCCTGGCCCTGGCCCTGGCCTTGGCCTTGCCTGTCTTCCAGTACAAGAACAAGAGCTAATTTTCAAGATGCCAAGGTAGCCTTTAGATAGGAGAGGCCAGGATTTGTGCGTGCGTGCGTGCGTGCGTGTGTGCGTGCGTGTGTGTGTGTTTAAGGGGAATCAATCAAACGCGCCCGCCAGTTCAGAAAGACACACAGACAATAGACATCTATGAGAATGTGCTGACTCCACTGCGTGGCCTGTGGAGGTCCTGCCTGGAGGGGAGGGGAATCTTAGCTCTGAATTCTTTTACTGGGGAACGAGGAGATAATGAGGAATTCATGTCATTTGTTTGGCTGAGGCTAGGCAGAGGCTCTGAGTAAAGTAACATGAGCTTGAAGCACCATACAAGCGTGATCTGAAATGGATTGGCTAAACCCCAGTGAATGTCCTAAGAGGGCTGTGGAGCTGCCAGTGCATATTGGGCATTTACTGTGTGCTGATTGTTTTCTATAGAACACAGATCATCTAATTCTCTCAAAGGCTTAGAACATGATGGTCTTCTCTCTCCCCAATTTATGGATAGAGAAACTGAGAAAGATGAATTTGCTCGCTCACATTTCAGCCAGTAGTAGTGGAGCCAGGCTCTGAGAGACCCTTGGTACTGAAGTTTAATGTGCAGCTATTTCTTGGACCACATATTGAACTAGCAGACTAGGTGCACCTGGAACAGTTCTATGGTCTTGTTCTCAAGTTGTCTTCATTCTGTTAAATTACTATATTCAGTTGGAACAAGACAGGGATTCTTTTAAGGCTAGACAAACAGATCAAACCAGGCCAAATATAGAGGATACTAGAAACATCTTACTGGATGTTAATTTCTTTTTCAAAGTTTAAAGTGTTTCCTAAAACATGAACTGTAGGTCCTTCATACTGGACTTTGACCTTTGAACTCAGTGGTTTATGAATGCTGTTCCTTGGTCATCCACTGACCAGACTCACTGCTGCTCTGTTTTTGACTGCAGTGAACCCCCATCCAGTTATCTAGTAAATTGTAATCCAAAGCAAAGACCTAGGATTTTGTGAATCCCCCTTCTTGCCTCCGATCAGCCCTAAGCTTTCCTCTGTATCTCTTCCACAGTTCTCAGCGCATACATGTGCACATTCTGTTTTAGTAATAAATTACTCAGAAAGCCATGAATCTGAGCTGATTTTCATATTAGAAGTTCACCAGAAGTACAATTTTAAACAAAATATATAAAACAAAAGTATTTGAGCTTAGGGCTGGGAAGGTGGCTCAGTGGTAGAGTGCTTGCCTTGCATATGTGAGGCCCTGGGTTCAATCCTTAGCACTTCATAAGCAGAAAAGGGCAGAAGTGGTGCTGTGGCTCAAGTAATAGAGTGCTAGCTTGAGCTGAAGAGCTGAGGGACAGCGCCCAGGCCTCAAGTTCAGGCCCCACAACCAACCAAAAAAGAAAAAAAGTATTAGAGCTTAAAATGTTGATTTTTCTGTCTTTTTGGCAGTCAAGATACTGTTTAAAGAAAATGGACTTAGGTTTCGGGACAGAAAACCGGTATGAGTATATGATGCATATTATTTTCATATCCTGAACTCAGAATGTAAGGGATAATTTCCTTTATCGCTTTTCATTCTGTCACCCTTTTCAAGTAGGAAGTTAATCGTTGCAGACACTCGAGGGAGTAAATAGTCTTTAATTTTACTCACGTTTTAACATAGAATTGTGTGTTTCCTTGGAATCTCAGTATTTAATGATGAGAGTGAAGAATGTATGTTAGGTCCCAAGTGGTTTTCTATGAGAAGAATCAAGTTGAATTTTATGTAAGACATTGTTCTAGCTACTCAGTGTGGTCTGTAGATTGGATAGAGTGGAGAGAAGAAGGGAGTATTTTCACTATGGAACTTTTAAAATGCATTTTTGCTGTGTGAAATAATCAGATTTTGTGTGTGTGTGTGCGCGCGCGCGTGCGCGTGCGTGCGTGTGCATGCACGCATGTATGCGTGCACTCATGTGCTTTCCCTTGGCCTGTTCTGCCTAAGCTAGTGCTCTATTTTGAACCACAGCTCTACTTCTGGCTTTTTGGTGGTTTCTAGGAAATAAGAGTGTCATGGACTTACTTTCCTGAGCTGACTTCTAACCATGATCCTCAGAATCTCAGCCTCCTAAGTAGCTAGGATAACAGGTGTGAGCAACCAACACTAGACTTCAAGTTGTTTTGTTTTTTTGTCTTAGAATGTTGGCTGTGTGGCTCTAGCTGCTTGGGAGGGGAGGTGGAGATTGGAGGCCTCGAATTTGGGCACCAACCAGATAGACGTGGGCACAGACTCCTTCTCAGTGGTGCGTGCCTGATAGCTCATTGACAGGGAACGCACACAGGATGAGTCCAGTCCTTGTTGGCCCTGGCATATCTTGAAAATAACCAGCAGAATGGCTCAGAGGTAGAGTACATCTTAGCTCATGCAGGGCACTG